AAAAATCAGGCCTTATTCAATACCAGAAAATTAATACTGGGGAAAAGTTACACAAGTGTAAAGAATATGGAAAAGCTTTTTATTAAAGATCACACATTTCTCAAGACAAAATAATTCAGAGTGCAGAGAAACCACACAAATGCAAAGAATGAGGCAAAGCTATTTCTATTAGGAAAAGTCTCATTGTTCACCAAAAAATCCATAATAGATGATTCAAGTGTTACCATGCAACAGATGATTCATACTTCAAACCATCCCCACACACCTATAGAGTGTAAAAATCATTTTTTGTGGGATCATACCTTATTGGTCACTAGAAACTTCATACTGGAAAGAAAAATTACAGCTGCCCGGAGATAGTTTTGGAGAGCTGACCGCATGAAACCCCACACTTACACAACCAGCCATGACCCAGGAGCCCATGAAAGTGAGCAGGGAGTACAGTTGGAACCTTGGCCCTCTTTCCTCCTGTGAACCTCTCCAGTTCACTTGCCCCTTCCTCAATCACTCTGTATTGATTGAATTAAAATAATCTTTTTTTCCAAAAGCTATGTTTTAACTTAAAGGCCACTTTTCTACCAAAGCAACACATTAATAAAACTAGCTTATGACTAAAGTCTATGATCACATCAAAGTTTTTTTCCATAACCTCAGTTGGATAGCATGGTCCTTTGTCAATATTTATTTATTTATTTTTGTACTATACCTGTGATTTAATTCAGGGGCACACAACCACTAAGCCACATTCCAGCCTTATTTTGTATTTCTTTAGAGACACAATTATAATGAGTTGCTTAGGGCCTCACTTTTGTTAAGGCTGGATTTGAACTTGCGATTCTTCTGCATCAGCCTCTCGAGCTACATGGATGAGAGACATGCACCACTACATCCAGAAGTCAATGTCTCTTGCTCTACAGTTAGATATAAAATTTTACTCAGGATTTGGTGTCCATAAAAACATTCAAAAGCTGTTTTTGTCATACTTCAGGTATCAGATTCTGGCTTTTAAAATGTCCTGCATGATACAATTTAGCTTTCTACATCAAATGCAGAGTTTATAAGTTTGAAACCAGATGACTGAGAAACAAAGATATTGAACAGCAAAATGCAACACATCCTATTGTTAAATCCACACATGTAGTGGGTTAGAATGATTACACTGAATAGACATCAAGAGTCTTGTCCATGACCCCTGAGGCCCCTGAGCCTCCAGAGCATCTGCACAAATGAGAATGAAGCACACTACCCTTCACCCACCCCTAAACATACTACATAGCATTTACTAGATAGACCAGGGGAAGCATTGTATGTCTTTGTATCCAACGTGTGGCTCTGCTTGCATATATATGACATCTGTTTTAGAGAACACTGATCCAGTACCTGATGAAACATAGCTGCCTCTTTTATTTTTCTCTTAAAAGAATACCACCGCCCTGCAGACTTTACAAATCCATAATGTTGTTACATTTGGAAAAAAATAAGAATTGTTGAAAAAATGGTGTCAATGAAAAGCATTTGAACTGATGAGTCCATCCTACCAGCAACTCTTATAAGAATACCATTGTGTCACTCAGAAAAATGCGGGTCCATCCCCAGCCACACTGTGAAAGCTGAGAAAGTGAAACCTTTCCCTGGACTCATCCTTGGCTCAGCCTTCAATGTGCTTCTTCCCAGGGAATGATGGTTTTGACAGTTAATAAAGTATGAGAAAATCTCTTCCACTGCAGTACTTCAGATTCTCTCAGGATTCTGGAAGACTCAGTCTTCAGATAGGCACAGTGGTACACACCTGTCATCCAAGCAGCAGGGGAGGGTGAGGAAGAAGGACCACAGGTTCAAATTCATCCTCAGCAATTTC